GGGGGGGGGGGGGGGAGCAGAGGCTTTAAGGGATACGAAGGAAACAGGTCTCTGCGTTTGCAGCCTCTGGGTCAGTGAAGGACTATAACCATTCACAGACTGGGGATGTCAGCAGGTAACTGCTGGACAATAGACCTGTCTGATGGTCTGGGTGATTCAGAACCCAGCACTGGGAAGATGGGAGGCCCTGATAGATGGCAGTTCAGGTGAGCTTTCAGCCCTGAGGGACATGAGAGATCTTGTCCAGGTCTTTCTTAGGCTTGTGGATTGCTGTAGAACAAAGGAAGGTTAAACTTGCTGAGGAGGCTCGCTGGGGGGGGGGGGGGGAGCATCTTATAAATCTTTTGGGCCTCACATTTATTTATGAGTTTGTGGTTTGTTTATTTGTATGTTTGTTTTAATTTAAGAGATATTAGCTACACAGAGGAGGCTCTAGGAGAGACTGGGAAAGAAGAGCTCTGTTTCGTGGAGGATTGCTCTCACAAGTCAGATAAAGAAGAAGGATCCACAAAGGAGGGTGTCTCAGCTTCAACAGAGGCCCTGTTGCTTAGGGCAGAAGAAGGCTCAAGACGTCAGCAGTGTCTGGGGCTGGACTGGATCTGGCTCTGTCCTCATCAGGTGCTGGAGTCAGACCTGGAGTGGGGACGGGAATGTGCTCTGGCTAACCGGCTCCCGGGTGGTCTGCCCTGACGTCAGTACAGTTCCCCCCTCCTTCCTCTTTGCTCTGAGAAGTTCAGCGACATCATAGCTTCCAGATGTGGTTTCCAGATGTGACCTGGAAGATTTCCAGAGGGAGCAAAGACGCAGAGGCAGCAACAGCTAAGCTCCTGGCTTTTCTCCAACTCTTCCTTCAATGGCTGCCTCTCCCTGACTTATATCACGAGGCCAGTGTATCAGGCACCCAGAAACCCCGGTGGGTGGGTGGGTAAATAAATACCAATTCCAAAGAAACCTGATTTGGACAGACACGTCTTTACTCACGTTGGAAAGAATTTAGTTCTGGACAGCGGAGAACTCTCAGCTGTTTCTGCTGTGAGCAGCCCCAGCGGGTCCAAGGAGGAGGAAGCGAGCTGTCTCCTGTGCTGAGGACCTGCCAGAGCACTGGGCCAGCGGCCAGCTGCGGAAAGCCTCCCCTGATGGGAACAGCCTGGGCCCCAGTGTCTTAGAGGGATGAAGCCCCAGTTATGAACAAAGGTCACAGGTCACTGAAACCAGGTGGGATTGCTGAGTGGCACTTCTCTAATGCCCCCACCCGCATGTCTCAAGCAGACCTGTGCTCATGTTAAAAATGCAGATTCCGATTGGGTCCATCTGGGATGGGGCCTTGGATTCTGCATTTAAAAGATTTTAATTATGCTAAAAATTGTATGTGTGTCCATGTATCATGTATGTGCAATGAGCGCTACCGTGAACGTGTGGAGGTCAGAGGACAGTTTGTGAGAGTTGGTTCTCTCCTTCCACCACATTTGGATTGGAAAGCAGCTGGAGGGGGTTGGCATGTAGAAGCCCTGGGTTTCATTTGCAACACACACACACACACACACACACACACGAGTCAAAGAAATAAAAGTGGTTACTAGTCATTGCTGGAGAAAATTAAAACAGAAAGCAGTCAGACAGTATGTAAATGAATGGGTGTGACTGTGTTCCAAGGAAACTTATTATTCGTTTTTTAAACAAAATAGGTAGCAAACTGGATTTGCTTGTAGTCTGTTGGCCCTTGGCCTTGAAGGAACATCCAATCATCTTCTGAAGTCATGAACAGAAGCATGCTATTTGAGTAAAAATGTAAAAGGCAGAGGACTGAGCAAACCCTGAGAGCGTGACTGCTTGGGAAAATGGTATATTAGTCAGGGTCCAAGCAGGCAAACAAAAGCCATTTACACAGAGGTAATTGAAAGCAAGGAGTTGGTCACATAGGTGATGGAGAATCAGAAAGTCAATCAAGAGCAGCCTGGAAGTTAGCAATGGCATGGAAGTTGTTACTAGACCTTTGAAGTAGTGGGGAGGGGTCAAGCACTTAGGTCAAAACTACTAGGGACCTAAGACTTAGGGACTAAGCAGGGACCACATAGCTACTGTATGCCTGTAGCCTTGGGTAAGACCCAACATCAGTACAAATACTTGGGAAGAAATGCCCGGCCATCTCCCTCCTTTAGCCCTTCCCTCTGTCATGTACTGGTCATCCAGTACATGTGTACTGGGAGCTTGTGTGAGCATGTGGCAGCCAGCCCCTGCCATCAAGGCTGAGCAAGGAAAGGCTAACAGGCTTCGCTTCAGCCTGAGAGGACATCCAGAGTGAGTTCTAGAATGTAGGTAGTAGACCTGACAAAAGGAGAGAAGGTGGTATTCTGGGCACAGGCTTAAGGTATATCAGTCTGAGCAGTATCAGATATAGGGAGGATGTCCCCCTTTAGGCCAGATGTGATCTAGACTTTATAGCAGGCTTTGGCAAATAACTGTCCCAGAGTTTTGTTTTGTCTAAAAATAAAATGTAACAACCATTCTCAGCTCACAAACCACACAAGCCACGGGCAGCGACAGCTGAGCTGTGAGCTTTAGCTTGCCAAGTTGGTTTTGAACGACTTATTTGAGATGAGGTCTCACTATGTTGCCACTGAGATAAGTAAACCTCATCCCTGCCTCAGCTTCCCAAGTATCTGGGACTACAGTTGTCTACCATTCTGCCTCAGTTTTACTTTGTTCGGTTTTGAGCAGTGCTGGGGATCAAATCCAGGGCCTTGCACAGGGTAGGCAAGCAGACTCCTAGGCAAAAGGACCCACTTTAGGATTGGAGTTGACAGGAGCCTGAGGGAGGAGACACGAAGCCTGGAGTGGAGGCTTCTGATGGTCCTTGTGGAGAGTAAGGGATGAGTTAGAGATGTAGAACGAGATGGACAAAGACATCGCTTGTGTCAGACAAGACACTAAGGTGGATTTGGAGGGATTTCCAAAGAAGCACATTAAATAGTTCCCCAGTTAACCTGGAACTCCCGGCCAGTCTTTTGTTTCAGAAAGCCAAAGGGAAGTCCTGCCATTCCAGGCTAAGGGATGTCTTCATTCCAGGCTCCCTCACCCCACCTCTGACCTCCCTTCAGGCAGAATGTGTGGAGGAATAGGTCTCCACACTTTCAGTAAGTGAAGAGTCAGGCTGCCTGGCCTCCGTGACTCACTTATTGCTCATTCTAGAATGCGGCTACCTTGTGTCCTCATTGTCAGGCCTTGGCTGCTGTTCTGGGACAACAGGAGAAGCCCTGCCTGCATCCTCTCATGTTTTCTTATGGGGTTTGGGTCCGGAGTAGAAAGGAGAGACGGCAAGCCTCTCACCTAGCCCAGGGCTCTGACACTTCCTGCTGGCCCCAGCTTCGTCCTATTCATAGGTTGCTTGTGTCTGATGGGGCTGGGTAGGGTCCTTGTGCTCTACTAGAAGCGAACACTCAAATTAGGCTCTAAGTGCTAGTTTGATGAGATGGGGAGAGTCATATAGGCTGTCTGCCAAGCTGGCTTCTCTTGTGGATGACTTGAGAAACTTAAGTATTCCAGGGCTGTTGCAAAGACGAGCGGCAGGCCGTGTTCCCGCCGCCCGGCTCCTGGCTAGTTCACACCCGAAATAATTACACACAAATTGTATTCATTTAAACACTGCCTGACCCATTAGTTCTAGCCTCTTCTTGGCTAACTCTCACATCTTGACTAACCCATATCTAATAATCTGTACGGCTTACTGGGAAAGATTCAGCATGTCTGACCTGGCGGCTGGCTCCATGGCGTCTGCCTGACTCCGCTGCTTTCTCCCAGCATTCTGTTCGGTCTACTCTGCCTACCTATGTTCTGACCTATCAGGCCAAGCAGTTTTCTTTATTAATTAACCAATGAAAGCAACACATAGAAAGAAGACCCACCTACATCACAGGGTAATTGAGGGACAAAGGGTTTGAGCTACAGATGGAGGATTACTCCAAGGACTGGTTCTTCGAGCCTGCATTGTAGCCTTCTGAAGCTCACGGGAAAAACCTCCAAGTGGGGGCATGCAGATTTATAAAGGGAAGGCAGCTAGGGCTCCCTGAAGTTATGAGGCACCAAAGAGCTAGGGGGACTTTTATGGACTCTGTTCTAGATCTTTCTCATAGACGCTTAACACAGGGGCAAAATGAAAAGCCAAGTTACAGAGCCCAAGCAGAACTGCAAGTCAATTGGCCAAGCCATTGGAGGAGGGTGTGCAGGGCAGAGCAGAACTAATAGTACAGAGGGAACACGGCAGACACAAGAGAGGCTATGCAGGTGTGAGTTGTGCCCCTTGTCTTGGTTATCTGGGACCAGGACCCATTGCATAGCTGGATGCAGGTATTGCAGGTCTCAGTATTCGAAGGCTCTGTGTATTCTATATCAGGCAAGAGCCACTCTTCCTGTTTGTCCACCCAGAGCTCACTTCTGGGAGGTTCAGTATGTCCTAGCCATTTTGCCAACTATTTTGGGGAGATGTGAGGGGTCAGACTAAACCTCTCTCAGAGTGCATAAGATTTTCCAGGCGGATTAGTGCAGCTTTTTAAAATTTTTTTATTCTCCAGTGGGTTTTGTGTTGAGTGGTAGAAGATGGTAGAGGTCTCAGGAATCTAAGGTAGTGGGAATAGGTGGGTAGATCTCTAGTCTCAAATCCAGTGGTAGAATCCCTTCCTTCCTGTAGAAGCTTGGGAACACAGTGGAGAGCAGGGATTGCTAAAAGTTCCACTTGCCTGGCCAACTGAGTGTCAATGTTCAAAGTCAGACGCCAAAGGTTGTTAGTTCCAAACTCTGCTCACACCCCCTCCGTTCTCCAACTTGTGCTGGCTCACTGACAAAGGTGCTAGGACTGGGTCCCTCCAGTGCCCCTGCCCTGGGCTATGTGACTTTGCCACCCTTCCCATGAAGAGGTGGAATCGGGGCTAGGACGTCAGCCCCGCTCTCTGGAGAAACAGAACCAACAGGATGTGCAGGTGAGGGAGAGAATTATTTTAAGCAACAAGCTCACACAGTCACCAAAATTTGCAAAACAAGCTGGCAGTCTAAAGACTAAGGAAAAACCTGCAGGTTTCATCTGAAGGCTTTCATTGTACTGGAGAACTCCCTGTTGTTGGGGGAAAGGTACGTCTTTGTTCTATTCAGGCTCTCGACTGATTAGATGAGGCCCGAGCACATCATGGAAGCTAATCCTTAGGCTTTACTTGAAGCTTTTCAATTTAAAAGTTAACTTCATTTAAACAAAACTATCATGGAAATATCCATAGTAGTGTTTGACCACCATACCGTGCCCAGCCAGGTTGGCATATAAAATTCGTCATCATATTTGATCTGCCACTTGTTTTGTGCCATAGAAGGTGAAGAAAGCAGTGAATGCTGTGTAAGGGCTGAGACCCTCAGGGGTTGTGGTCAGTTCTGCTTGCTGTCACGGAATTCTGCCAGTCATCGCTAGACAGTCAGGCTGCGCTCGAGGATGAGTGCCTATGTGGGCAGGAGATAAGACATGCCAGGCGATGGCAGATCCCAGTCCACCTGACAGCTGGTCGCATAGGTATGAGAAAAATCCAGTTGAGACAAACTGCCCAGCCCCGAGTGCTGATCTGCATAACTGGAGGGCTAAGTAGTTGTTGTCCCAGGCTTCTATATTTTGGGATGATTTGTTATACAGCAAACGCTAACTGATACAAGTTCAACTTCCATGGTGCTCATGAGCCTACTATGTTAGCTGTTTAAGAGGATACAGGTGAACAAGTTCTAATAAGGCTCCGTGTGTGACATCTATGTGTTGGTACTTCTGAGATTTAAATATAGCTCCGTCCAAGCATATTCTGACCTGGCAAGATCCCACAATTATGTGCCAGAGCAGAGGGAGGAGCTGATGGCTGGTAGCCAGGAAAGCTGCATGCTGCAGGGTTGAGGACCAAAGGGTTGGGTCCTGGCGCCTACCTCTGTGGGCCTAGAGGAGTTTCGGGAATAGTCATAGGATGTAGTCTTGGCAAAAAAACCTGGGAAGCAGCAAATCCAGGCCACGTCCTGTTTCTGTTACCACTAGGCCTGTGTCCTGAGCAAACTGTCTTTCTAGAGTCACAATTTCTGCAAAGGCAGAGTTAGATTCTGTGAGACCTGAGCTGATGCAAATTGGAACTCCCTTCAGAATAAAAACAGTGATTGAGGCTGGGTGTGGTGTCACATGCCTTAATCCCAGCACCTGGGTGGAAGACGCCTGTATAGAGATTTCCAGGTCAGCCAAGGTTACATAGTGAGACTCTGTTTCAAACAAATGAACAAACAGGGAAACAAAACAATCTGTGGTTGCAAAATTGCAGGGTTCTGGAAGGGGCTCTGCAAGCATCCT